AATTTTTCCTCCGCTAACGACCCGCCGATATTTGAGCGGGGTAAAAGCCAACATGATCGCGCAGACGAGGCAAGTTTGGGCTAACAAGGGCCTCCTCCCTTCAACAGAAAAAGAAAGAGAATGAGAACGTGAGAGAAAGAGAAATAGAAAGAGAAAAAGAGAGTGGGAGAGAGAGAGAGAGAGAGAGAGAGAGAGAGAGAGAGAGAGAGAGAGAGAGAGAGAGAGAGAGAGAGACTCGGATACACGGGTAGGTATGTAAATCTCGTTCGAAGCATGGCGAGGAGAGACGAGGTGAAGCAAGCACGGTGATGGTGCCCTCCGAGCGAGCTCCTCTCTCCTGCGACCCTCTCCTGAGTCAGGTTCTTTCGCGGGCTGCCGGGCGGAAGGGGTGCCGGGTTTTAACCCTTTTTCCAGTTATCGATTTTCAGCTCGAGACGGATGAGAGAGGACTCGCCCATGTGCCTTCGGCCACTCCGGCTCTACACTCGACTCCGCTTGACTACTTTCAACGACCTGCCCTCTTCCCTCTTTCTCTTCTCTCACCTTCCACCCGCACCAGCACAACCTTCCCATCCTCATCCTCATCCTCATCTTCCTCCTTCTCTTCTTTCTCTTCCTCTTCCTCTTCCTTCTCTTCCTCTTCCTCTTCCTTATTTTTCTTTTTCTCTGCCCTCTACCATCCCTTTTTTCTCGGCACCTTTTTCAAGCGAAACCTTAAATAATACCCAACCCAGCTCAATCGCACTTTTTCTTCCATTTTTCCTCGATCGATAATAATTCATCTTTTTTACGGAAAACGTTGACAAAGAAGACTCGAGAACAAAGAAGTTAACACGAATAGGCGAGAAGAAAGCTGCTACGAATATTATCCCTTAAATATTATCGATATCATGAACACGCAAGATTCTATTGCAACCTACCATCTAACTACCTGCCTACTTACCTATCTACCTACCTGCCTGCCTACCTGCCTACCTACCTACCTACGTGCCAAAATTGTACATCTACCACGAACGTGTCGTTTAGCTCACGATACACGATTTATTTTCCTACGATAAAACGCCACTCTTTCGATGGCCTCCGTTCGTTTTGCGTATATCGAGTAGATACGCTATCGAGGAAAAAGAAAAAGAAAGGAAAAAAAAGTCAAGGCAAAGGGTGAGGGAATTTTGATTGATTGCCAGGGTGGAGTCTAACACACGAGAACGCTTGACTTGCGCAGATAGAACACGTGCGTCTTACACACGCATGCGGCACATACGACGAAGAGAAGCAAAAGAGGTCGCTTCTTTTCCTGCCTTTGGAACGTATGCGCGTTGCGGGGGTAGTTTCTCCTCTAAGATGGTAGCCCAACACCCCTCTCCGTTACTTTCTTTCTCTCTATCTCTCTCTTTTTCGTTAGAAAGGGACGTATAAGCGCGCGCGTTGGCATGCAAGACCGTATATCTTGTAGAAGCCATACGAAGGAAACTGGTGCGTTTAAATGTGCGTGTGGGTAGTAGTAACAGCAGCAGCAGTTGTAGTAGCAGTAGTGGTAGTAGTCTAGCTACAGACATGTCGAGCACACACATCGAGAAGGGGGTGAGCGAGGGGGGCAGAGACCAATCGGAAGCAAGCATTCTTTATCCAACGACGTATCTTGAACGCATGCCTCACGTACGAGGCGTGGTTTGGGGCCACCCCAACCTCCAAGACTAGACGCTTTTTTCACGGGCGTTGCATTTTGCGCCCCCGCGGAGGAACGAACCACCGCCCCATACTAATGTCTCGACCCTGCGCTTTCCTTCTAACGTCGTAGAGATAGTATAGAGACGAAAGCGTCGAGAAACGCATTTTAAAATGTTCACGATAAAGTACCGATCGTTATGAACTTTATCACAAAAGACGGCAATCAAGATCATTCCTATTTAAATACAAAAATTATGTTTTTATTAATTTTTATAAAATTATTATTTTTTCTTTGTTGGAGTAGAGAAACTCGATTAATAAGGAAAATAAATAGAGACGTTCCACGACTTCTTCCTCCAAGTTTTTGTTAACTACGTATAAAAGAAGAAGATAGGAGAAAAAAAAGTGGAGACTGTAGATTGTTCCGTAGCCTAAGGGTAGCATCGAGCAATTCGAAAATTTCCATGAAAGTTCTCGACGGTAGCCCGGTCGCGAACTCGGTACGACGTCGACGTACGATAATACACGCTCGTATGCTGATAGACACGTGGGTGGAGAGGGAAAGAGAGAAAGAGAGAAAGGGAGACGCCTCGGACCCGGTGCACGTCGGGAGAGATCTCTCATTATGCATTCCTTTCAGGCGGCCGTCATTATTTTACATATTGCAGGAGGAGGCGTACCGGCACGGTACCGACTGCCTTTGCCAATTTTTCCAGCACGGCAAAAAGGAACGGCCGGCAATTTGGTACCACGTCGGAGTTCCACGTATGCATGTATACGCGTAAAGGGCTCTGGCTTCGTAGATAGGTATGTAGAAGAGATATGTACCTACGTACTACGTAGGTACAGTTTGCGTTTCTGTGTAGACAACACAACCGGCTACCACCGTCTAACGATATCGTTGGAATTTAATGCATTTCATTCGAAGGAAGCCCCGCGGCTTCGAAGATAGGGACTAGTACAAAAGGAAGGACGATCGCGTTATGGGTGATATCCTTAAAAGGTAATATTAATTTGCACCAGATGATATCGTTTTGTGGTTGACGCGTTCGTTGATGCAGTGATCGATGATAAAGTACTATATAGAGTGACAGAAAGGAGAAGGGGGAGGGAGAGAGAGAGACTTGGAGGGAGAATAACGCCCGTCGTTGAAACGACCAGGAGATGGAGATATAAATTATAAATTATGGGGACGAGAAGGTATCTCGCTTAACCTTTTCGTTCTATAATCGAATACGCTACTGGACAAATTAATCCTTCAAGACTACAAACGAATTTCCGTTAGCAATGCATATCGTTACGATACGATAGCAAAGAGTTTCTATCGACTGAATGGAAATAAACGATTCGAAAGTTTTATACCCGTGAAGTTAACGTCGGCTCGAGTAACACATTGCTCATGAGGATAATAGAATACTCACTAAGATTATATTCCAATCTATAAGTCAATCGTAATGTGTGTCTATCAGAGACGAGTTGACGCGACTCGTGTAGGCTAACTAGTTTGTGGCTAACTAGTGGACTGAACGTGCTTGGCGGAACGAAAGGAACGGAACGAAAGGAAATAAATGAAAGGTGATCGAAGTGTTTAGAAAGCGCATAAATCCTAAAATATCGAAGGATCTTTGAAGAATGCTTCCTTGTATCTAGAATTACGCTAGTCTACGAGCCATTCCTATGTAAATTAAATTACGCGTGTGTACGACGACCAACGGAAAATTAAATGAACGATATGAGATCCTTTGAATAATAAATTCTGGTAGAGAATCTCAAATTTATCGCGAGAGGAAGAGAAAGAGAGAGAGAGAGAAAGAGATGAAAAGGGTAAAACGACTGAAGCTCTAGTTGCTCATTATAATTTCGAATTTCAAACTTCGTCCTTCGGAATAATTCTTACAAATCTTTTAACCAAACTAGATTCGTAGAAATTATTCTTTTTTTTTATTATATCCGGTATCTACCAATTAGAATATAAAACAAACTAATCTTATCCTAACGACTTACTTTGACGATATACCGCGTTAAGCCATTTATTTTGAAAATATCATCGTAAATCGAATAAAACGATTTAACAGTTAACTAAACAAATTCATGCAATTTTATCTTGACATGTAATTTCGTTAATGCGATTTCAATAATGGAAAGAATGCATCAAACGTTGTTTTTTCTTAATTGATAGTTCAAATACTTGCAATGATAAATACAATCATATTTGCTAAAAATATATTGATTTTAACAATGTTGTTATAATAAATCTACAATAAAATACAAAATAAAATTAATTCGTTGAAAAAATAATGTTTAATGAGAAATATAAAGTTCAAGGAAGAATGCAAAAAAATAGATAAAGAGAAAGAGAAAGAGTAATCCTTGTTCGGATCGACGTACGGCAAAAAAAAGGGGTCGATGGACTATAGAAATCTCGATGGAAAAAGTCGCTCGAGATTCGATGAATCGAGTTTGGCTGGGCATTACGGGGGAAGATCTTTTTCGAGGGAAGAATCGAAACGGTCTGTTTATCGGGGAGAACGAGGACCGTGGCTCGCGTTGCAAGTGGCTAAGCCACCTGTGCACGAGGACCGATAAATCTCAGCGGCGAATCTCGAAGAAGGAAGGAAGAAGAAGAAGAAAGGAAGGTTGTAACAGGCCGGCCTATATGTATGGTAATATCGACAGGGAGGTCCCGCGAGCCAATACCTTGCTCTCGTATGCGTATTATGCGGTGGTAGCAAAAAAGAATGCGAATAAGAAAAAAGAAGACGGATGAAAGATGGAGAAGAAAGAAAGAGACGGAGGATGAAGAAGGAGAAGAAGAAGAACGAGGAAGAGGAGACCGAGTTTGAGATTGCGGGAGAGAAGTCGAAGAAAGAGAGAAAGAAAGCAAGAAAGAGACAATTGAGAATGCGCAGGTCCTGTAGCAAGCCGCTTCTTTCTCGGTTCCCTTTTCTTCTTTCCCTCTCTCTCTCTCTCTCTCTCTCTCTCTCTCTCTCTCTCTGTTTCTGGGACGAGCAACACGGCGTCGTCGTCGTCGTCGTCGTCGTCGGACTACGAGCGAGAAGTTATGGCACGAAAGAGCTCCGCGCGGAAAAGAACGAATAAGATAGAAAAGTTCGAGGGAAGAAAGAGAAAGAGAATCGCTTGGGTAGTAGAAGGGAAAAAGAAGGGAGTGAAACGTGAGAAGCAGGAAAAGGAGAGGAACCGCTAGCGCTCCTCCGGTAAGCATAGAGGAACGAACGTTACGAGAGAGTGTAAGAGAAAGGTAGAGAAAAAAAAAGAAAGAAAGAAAGAAAGAAAGAAAGAAAGAAGGAGAGGAAGAGAGAGGGAGAGAGAAAGCGACGTCGCCCGGGCAACGGCTCTGCCACCTTATTGGATATGTTGACCAATTTATTTTATTTTTCCCCGCTCCCTCTACGGCAAAGAGGAAGAGGACCACCTTCCACCTACCTACACTACCCTCTGCACACATCGACGCCATTTTCCAATATCGCGTCAAGCGGCCGCTATACTCTCTTTCCACTTTTACCATCCCACCTTTACACTTTTTTCTCCTACCTCTTTATCCCCCTTTTCGTCCTCCCACCCTTTCACCCACCTCGGAAGGAAAGAAGAAAAGAGGAGAGGGAAAGAAGATCGGGAGGGGTTGGGTGGTCCTAGGAAAAAGAGGAAAAAGGGGGGAGGTGGTTTCGAGAAAGAAGGCTGGGGTGGTTAGAGAAAGAGGAGATAGTTCGGATAGAGTTTGGTGGTTGCGGGTGGAAACGGACGGCGATGCCAATGTCGGAGTCCCGGAGGCTGGGGGTTTGGATACATAACTACAACTCCGGCAACAAGAACGAAACAAAGTTAGGTGAGAACCGTACGTTCCTTTATCCGTAAATTGGCAATATTCATGCCTAACCTACGTAGACGGGGTGATAAATTCAGTGATATTCGTAAGAGTTACACCGATCGATTCTACAATCAAAAATGTTTTAACGATTCGTACGATATCTTCTTGCAAAAGCGCTCAACTAAATAGTTCTTGGCTGTTCAATATTTTTACGCAATTTTTCGAACGGGAATGAAATTATAACTATGTGAATAATTTTACTCAAAATTCGTTACTTCGAAAACAATTATTTTTTTTTGATAGAAAGAAATTAAATTATTTCAAGTCAACGTGAGCACGGTTGGTAAAATGGATGAGTGATCAGTTTAGAAAAATAAAAAATTCGACCTCTTTGGTAGTATTTGATAGGAATAAAAAGGTATTCATAGAGAAGTGACACGAACTCATAAAAGGGAAAATAAAATGATATATATAATTGAACTATTTCGTCTACTGATTGACAACACGAACTCAATTTGTGTGATCGTAAAGAAAATTACGAGCTTTTAGATCGAAGAATTTTTCCTTTTTTTTTTGTATTCCATGCACTTTTTATTTCTTTTATTATTTTTTTTCTTATTGTTCCGCTGAATATATTTAAATAGTCCCAGTATCGTATGATCTCCGTGTGCGGTAAACTTTGTTGCCGTTTATTGTCAGCTATTACTGAAGTTCTTTTAAAAGGGACGTAAAACCCACGATAACCTTGCCCGACTTTCGCAGGTGTTTCCTATAGAAGTTATTCTGAATTGGTTCTCGTATTCGTGAATAGCAAGCTCCTATTTATCTTCAACGAGTTGCGTGACTCGAATGGTAATGCACGGGTAATTACTTAATGTTCGGTTGCGTACACATATCGTGTGGAGATTTGTAAAAGAAATTATATAGGTATCACGTGATTTAGAATCTGTTAAAGGAGAAAGAAATTATCGGAGAAAGTGGTGACTCTTAAAATCGAATCGTTGAAATATTTGTCGTGTTTTTAAACGTATTTATCAAAGCACACAGATCGATTGACCGATTGGCAATAACATTTGCGATAACAACAAAAAGCATCGAGAAAAAATGGAAGCTGCTTCATAGGCCTCCGTAAGCTCTCAATTAATGTAAACTTTTTGCGAGTAAAAATCGCTTTAAAATTACTTGGCCCCTCTTTCACCGAGTATCTATCTCCGTCTTCGTTCTGCTTACTCTTCGTCGTCACCACCCTCTTTTTTTCTTTCTCTTTTTCTTTTTCTCTCTCTATCCTCTTTTTCTCCCTTTGCGCCGACTTTCGAGGAGCGAAGAAGCCGTGTTGGGGAAGGCGGCTTTAGAAGTTCGAACGATATTCAAACTTTTAAAATATGTCAAATTATTTTCCTTTCAGAGGAGCTGTCGTCTAAATACATTTCCATCTCTCACGATGTATTTAAATACACAAGATTGTAACGTAAGGCACCGCCGCCGTCCCATGAATACTATAAATCTTTCTGTAACATCCTCTATCTCTTTCTCTCTCTCTCTCTCTCTCTCTCTCTCTCTCTCTCTCTCTCTCTCTCTCTTTCTCTCTCTCTCTTTTTCTTGCGACTCGCTCTGAATACGCTTCTTCGAGAATTCAAAGACGAATATCCGCGAAAGATGCTATTCCGAAAGTTTATCGAAACTCCAGAGAGTTTCGATTACGAGCAACAAAGTGACTAATTGATACTACTTAAAAATAGATACTAGCCGATGAAAAAAAATCCAAATATCGTTCGAAATAATAACTTATCTGTTCACCATTGTATTTTGATTTTGTCTTCTTTGACTTATCGAAGGGACGTAAGTAGAGCAAAAGTACTCTATATGTACTTATTTTTGATCGTAATTGATGTTACGATTCGCTGGTAACAGAGAACACAAATTTTCTTTCAGTTGGAGTAACTTGATTTTCTTTCTTTTTCTCGTACGTCATATTGCCAATCGAGAACGAAAGAACGAGTCGCGTAGATGAGAAAGAGGTTGAATAAGGCGCGACTTTCTCGTAGTCAGTGCAAATAAGTAAAGCGAGGAATACCTAAGGTGGGTAGGAAAGGTAGGTAGGTAGGTAGGTAGGTAGGTAGGTAGGTAGGTAGGTAGATAGATAGGTAGGTAGAGATAGATAGGTACGTAGCTATCCACGCAATTACATTAGACCCAGAGCATACCGGCGACAACTCTTTGTGCGTCGATTGGATATCAAAGCTCGGCATGAACACCGCTCGTTCCAAGAGCCTTCCCCTTACCCCTCATCACATTGGTCTCTTTCTTTTCTTCGTCATTCTCTCTCTCTCTCTCTCTTACTCCCTATCTACCTCTATCTTTCTCTATAGCAAAGCAATAGAGTTCTTGCCTTTCCTCCACTCTATATCCGCCACTCTACTTCGCAACGCGGTTCTTCCGCCAAGTGAAAGTAGCCTCCTCCTTCCTTTCGTATTTCTCTCTTTCTATTCTCTTCTTCTTTTTTGTTCTCTTTTTTTCCTATGCTTGTGTCGCCTCGCCTTCGCTTTCTTCTTTCGTAACCACTCACTCCTCCGTTCGTTTCCCTCGAAGAAGACAATTTCTTCCAACGTCCTTTTTCCTTCTCTTTGTTTGATTTCTCCTTTACCGTTCGTACGAGAGAAGATAGAAGAGAAGAGGCGAGAAGCTTTTGCCAAATAAGAAAGAAAGAGACTGGATCGTAGGAAGAGTACGATGATTTACGTGATGCCTCATTGAATAGAAACGTTGTCGCGTGCGTTAAAACGGCTGATCGAGCGCTAGCTGTTATTCGATAGAAACGTATTTCTTCTAAGATCTTTGGAAAAGAAAGAATTGAAGAAAGGGAGAATATAGTTGAGGAAAGGGAAGCGACAAATTGTCATAGTGGGTGGATCCCACGCGTACGAGAAGCAGTTAACTTTATTGCAGGAGCCCGGGAGTTTTTAATATCGCTTTGGCGCGGACGCGTCTGCCAACTGACAAAAAGAAAAAAAAGGAGGTGTTAATGGAGAACGTTTTCGCTCTAACGACCGTAGAGAAGAGTCGGTGGGTGGAGAAAGCCGAAAGGGCCAAGAGTATAGGAGAGACACCGAGAAGGAGGACCGTCGCGTCTCTGGCGCCTATAAACATCTCTCTTCCTCTTTATCTATCTCTTTCCCTCACACTCTTCTTGGTCATGCTCAACGAGTTCTATGCTTTTTAGGAAAGATATGCTGCAAAATAAGAATACCGAAGATTTCTTTCCTTTGTGGAATTTTAATGCTCCCCTTGCATTAATATAGAACGATACCGAGTGATTACTTGTCGCTTGTGTTTAAAATACAGCGATGATAACTTCACACGTGTGTGTGTGTGTGTGTTTTAGATATGTGCGTTCATATACTACTCGAATAAGAAATAGAAAGTATCCGTTTAACTCATGATTCTATTTATGTATCGTTCAATATTGTCATTTTCTTCTTCCGTCAAAATACTTTTTTTACTATAGAATCAACCAACCCTCGAAAAGATAAAGAATGAAAGGTAATGGAGATCGGAGGTTGGTGTCAACGACTTGACCTTTTAAATACAATCACTTCCTGTGAAGCGAGATAATTCGTAGAGTTTAGAACGCTTGTATTACGGCTGATAATATTAGATTATTACGTTGCTTTGTAAATATGTTTCTTTGTGAATAACAATAAGCATAATAATAATATATATTTTTCATAATTTTTCGATTACAAGAACAATGCTCGAAAGTATGGCACTTGAGAGTCGAGTTATCTCGTTGATTTTGGAAGATTCTTGCGAATCAATTAAAAGTATTTAGTGCACCATAAGGAAAATGCCTGTCGACAATTAACCACAGTGCTAATTCTTTCTATGTAGTTACTTTGACGATTGTAAAAATTCGAGCAGAAATACACAAGATCGTAGGAGAAAAGAAAGAAAATAAGTCGAAGCTCGCGTGTCAGCGGCTTTTTAGTAATATACCAATGACATCTTGGGCAATAAAATTTTTGCTTTTTATGGCTATTCTCTCAAAACTAACTACATAAAAGTCCTTTTAAATTATTCTTTTAAACGCGCCGAGCCGTCGTGAGCGTTCGTCTTTTAATTTCGTCAATCCCCATTCCTCTTCTCTTCTACCCACCCAGTCAGATTTACCTCGTAGTATACCCTTTATCTCAGCTTTCGTTTACATCTCGTTATACGTGCCTGAAAATATTTATCTACTTCCCCTTCCACTTAGTGTTTTCTCTTTCTCTCGGAAATTCTCATTGGTAAGTTCATACCGGTGCGTACATTCAACTGCGGAAAGTCTCTTCTTGCCCTTCTTCTATCCAGAAGTACCCGTCTACCTTCATTACAGTTATCTACGAAGAGACCACAAAGCTTCGAATGAAATTTTCACCTCCCCTTGTGCCACGGCACGAAGCGTACTTACCTACCTACCTACCTACCTACCAACCTACCTACCTACCTATCTACTATATCTACTACCTACCCGGCAAAGTGCTTAAAGAAAATACAAATGTGTTACTTTCTACTTGCAAAATTACATTCAATTTCTCACACTAAAGCGATTACAATACTTTTATCTTTCGATATGTACTACTCACACTAAATCCACCGACAAAACGGTCGAACGAGAAATTCGCTCGGTAAGATTACTCTCACCGTACTATATACTATATATGTAAATATATGTATATCTGAACGAACGAACGAACGATCATATTCGTACTATATTGAAGCGACCGACGACTGAAAGATAAAAAGAAAATTTATATCCTAACCATTCGTTATCACGCTTGATTAATTTTACCCTATAATCATACGGATCTATATAAAGCATCTTGCTAGACAGCAAAACTCCTCCTTCTTGCCCTTCGATCCTTCAACTAGTTGTTGGCACGCTTGGAGGGAAACACAGGTGTACTATATAAATTCGGACGCTAGTAAATACAATGGAATTATATATGAGCTGTAGTGACTAACGATAATATCGGAGAACAATTTTTCATAGATATCGAAGGCTGCTTAAGATTTATTTGTGTTAAAAAACAAGCATCACGTATGTAAGTATGTATTAAATTCATATATATATATATATATATATACATGCACGTACATACTTATATACGTATACTTATACTTGTATACATGCGTGCAGAGTAAAGGCGACGATCGTTGGGTACGTTACCGGATGTAATTCTAGTAGTTGACGAGCGATCATTACCAGAAGCCAACCGTTCGCGGGGGCGTGTAGAAACAAAGGCGAGAAGGGAAAGCTTCGACCGCACGAAAAGTTACGCAACTCTTTGCGTTTCGAGGAGTGCAGCTTGTCGGTCATTACAATTTCCACATCGCTGTTAATGAAGATAATTAGGCGCGAGCATATTCTTTCCTTTCTCAGGCAGTATAATTCGTAAGGAAGAAAATACTGGCTGAGTGATTCGATGGATAGTAGAGAGGAGAAGAGAGAGAAGAGAGAAGTATAGTATAATGCACCGGCACGTAAGCTCCGTTAAAAACACAAAGACCACCGAGGGAAGATTATGGAACAAAATAGTCTGTAGACCTTCTTTATACCCGTCTATCGCGACGAGAAATCTCTAAGTATAGATGCAAAAAGTGGCGCGATGCGCACCTAAGATTGCCATGTTTGGTCTGCGTGCTAATCGGATACGGTGTATTATGTAGATACAATAGCGAAATAAAGAATATCTCTAAACTCATATTTTTCACGGTCAAATATGAAAATCTGTATAATACAAAAAGTTAGATTACATTGATAAAATCTAATTACAGATACCTACTAATGAAGATACGTATAAGTCCAGTCGCAAAACAGAGGAAAGCAATAACACGAAGACTTCCTAAATATCAAAGGATGTGTATTATACGTCAGCAAGACGAAAAGTTTGATCAAGTATACGAACGAAAGTAAAACTATTTCATCGTGTCCTCTCGAACCAAAGAGAACACTCTTGATGTGAGTAAAGAAAAAGCGTACAAGATCTAGCGGATACGTACATACTTACATACGTATTTTATCCTGGAGAGTCAGAAGAGAAGAGAGAGAGAGAGAGAAAGAGCTAGAGAGTCCTATTTCTCGTTGCGCACGTCAAAAGAAAGAAAAAGATAGAAATAAAGAAGACAGAAAGAAAGAAAGAGGGGCCATTTGTATTCATATGAAAATATTATCTTGCCGCACATCCTGCCTCTTCAGGATCGCTATTGGGTTTGCATAGATACTTATGCATGAAGGCAACATCGGCCAGCATTGTTATGCAACCCGCTGAAGATCCTCAATATAGATCCTCGCAGAGATTCATTCGGATTTGAAGAGCTCTGTGCTGGTTCCTCCAAGAGGATCCTCGCCCTATCGTTCTCTCTCTCTCTCTCTCTCTCTCTCTCTCTCTCTCTCTCTCTCTCTCTCTCTCTCTCTCTCTATCTCTCTCGCACTATATTTCTATCTCATTTTTCCTTCATCTTGTATGCTAAAAAAGAACGTTAAAATTCTCTTCTCTACTTCGAATGTTCACCACCGAGGTGCGATCGAATTTCTTCATTCATAAAGCAATGCAGATTATATCATACGTCGATTTCGCTTTACGAGTTTTTACAAAAGATTTTACGAACAAATTAAAACAAGTCGTCATTTACGAGCGCGCATTGCAATTATAATACACAATTTCAACAAATTCATCTAATATAATAACTATTAATCTTTCAGAAAATCAGCAAAAGCCACTAAAGTGGAAAGGAATTGAAAAAGACGAAATTGGTTATCAATTATCATCACCGGATGATTATAACGTGAGCCGGATTAGCTCTTGAATGAACAAACAAACCGTTAGGATCACTGGTAATTGGGTGGAAATTATTACGTACCTTTTCCTCCCTCTCACTCGGTTTTGTGCACCGCGAAAACGGCTAAGGGGCTATAATTTTCTCTTAGGAAGTAAATTTTATTAATATTATGGGTTGAAACGACTAAAAGATCTGAATAAACAATAAAACTACAAAAACGCAACGGTAGTCGATCCATCGATAAAAACTGGAAGCTATCGCAAGCGAATAACCTCTGCTGTTTTCTCTTTCTTTCTATACATCTATCTCACTTTCTCGAACATAGTTCTTATCGTAAAGTGGTCCAGGATGGTCAATGAGTATCCTGTTAGCGTTCACATCGAATCGATTACGCGACACTCGTACCTTGATATTCCAACGAGGATATATATCATGAAAGAGGAAGAGAGAAGGAGGGTGAGCGGGAGAGGGAGGGAAAGAGGAACAGGAACAAACTGATAGAGTGAGAGAGAGAGAAAGAGAGAGAGAGAGAGAGAGAGAGAGAGAGAAAGAGAGAGAAAGAGAGAGAGAGAGAACTTCGACAGACGGCTGCCGCAACATTTATTGGACCCTCGCATGCCGGTGTCCAATCAATAATTACGCAGAGTTGGATTAACGTACAGGCTGCGTTGAAAGCACTTGCCGACTGCAATGACCGGCATCGACAAACATTTTCCGTTCGGATCTGTTTACGAAGAAGGATAATTAGCAGACCGTCAAAGCTATCGGTATGAAAGAAGAGAATCATATATAAAATATACTCAAAAAATAGGCAAATTAAGTAAATTTCGATGCAAAGGATCTGACGTCTTGGATGTAAAATAATTCAAAGGTTTATTCGAAGCCTTTAAATAAGAGCTAAGGCAATTTATCGAAAGTAAACTATTATATTGTCTATCTTTATCTGGGCAAGTAAATTCAACCCCACGAAAAACGTATAGAATTCCAAGTGGACCGCTTGACGATGATCAAAACAGAGTGAAACTTGCTCCGTGAATAGGTACAATAGCCTTTTAAAAGTACCTATAAGATACTCGTGTTTCAAAGGAGTGCGGTCCATCTTGACCTTCCGCGAAGCAGCCACCCACGGCGCAACCACTATGGGGTTCCTGGCGACCCCCAATCAAAGTTAATCCGGAAAACAACGACGTCGTGCCTCCCAGCTATGGTCTGTCTTCGATGACCACTTTCAGAGACTATCTATTACAGGTTCATAGCTAACATCATTATTATCTCGTTATCATCGTTAGACAGAGCTGGAATTTCTTGCCGTACGTCAGCTCTTCCTTTCTATCGTCATCATGTCGATTATCCTTGACGTTATTATCCATCGGTCTATACCTTAGCTATAAATAAAATCAAACGTACGTTCGTTCTGATAAAAAGTAGCGGAGCGAGAGTCCTCTTTATTACACTTGTCGCATTACTGAAGTACAAAAACAAGCTGCATAGGACTATATCAAGATATAGATCGTTTTCCCGTTTGGGATTTCTTCTTTGATAAAAAAAGTTACAATGGAATCTTCAATGAAAAGATACGTGCGAACCATCATTACCATTACCAGTATGGTATCGATCAAGAATACGTCGAAAATATTTGTAGCAGAATCCGAGGTTATTTACATGATAGAAAGAAGAAAGAAAAAAAGAGATAAAAAGCGAAAGGATAGATAGGTTTAGTGCATACCCATGTAGGTGGAAGAATAAGATAGAGAGAGAGAGAGAGAGAGAGAGAGAGAGAGAAAACGTGAGGCGACTCAACCAACGTATGAGATTACGTTACACCCGTGTGGTCTGTGAAAGAAATTCAAGAGGTCAATTTCGATTAAATTTAATCTTGTGCAGGATTCGAATCGGCGCCGTAACGAATCTGGAGGACGCATCGAATAAATCATGCATGTAGTCCCCTAAATTCTACAAAATTTTCATTATTTTTCTAGAAAAAATCTGTGATTTCGATCGAAATGGAATTTGCTTCTATCGTATTTATTTTTAAACGTTTATTAGCAATGATTTAAATGAAAAAAAAAAACAAATTTTTAAAATGAAGAAAAAGAGGAAAATGATTGGTAAATACATATATCGAATAGCAAATCGTTATGTGGGAGGAGAATAAGACTGGAATCCGTTTGAAGTCATACGATCGCTATTCGTTAGTCATCTGTACTGTAACAAATTTGTAATGGCAGAATAAACTGCATGTTTGCAAGTGATTACGCCAATTATGGGTAATACCGTCGTGCACATCCACGGCTGTTTATATTTGACGCAATCGTACGTGCCTTTACTCGTATGCTTTCAAATACGAGTACAGCATGGCCTGCACCCAACCCATACGAACGAACCCGTACCTAAATCAACAACCACGGCCTACGCGTTCGAACCAATCCTGCGGTACACCGCATGAAAAAAAAAGGAAGGCCAATGACAACGTCGTCGTAGTACGCGCCATGTTTTTACTCTCCATTCGTTAAACCGAAGGTACGCTCAAAACTACGGACAATTAGATTTAACTTTGATTTTCGAAAAATATCTATCTTATTTTTATCAACAACAATATAAACTTAAGTTAATTGATAATTAGCTTAATTTGAATGACGTTACATTTTACGTTTAAATGATTTTTTTCTCGTTGAAAAAACAGACGCTTTTGAAAAACCGAATAAAATTTGACAGATAGCATAGGGAAAAACAAGAATTACATTTGTTAAGCTAAAATTATCGTTTCGTAGCTTCACGCTCGAACTACATCGTAGGTCCAATTGTAATATTGTAATTATACTTCGCACCGTAGCATTATTAAGGTTACCCGCGCAATACGATACAAGACCAATGCTTCTCTTGGAAGGCGTGGCATCGGTTCAAATTATACCTAACCTCCTCTTCCTAGTCGAGAAAATGAATAAACCCGTCTCTTTTCTCCTCTTTTAAGGACTATACCTACCTGTGTATATGCGTGTATGTTTCACATTATTTGCGGATAATGACAAATGGACACAGACCTTATCATAAAGCTCGTTACAAACAGTTTTTTGAAATAACATTTAGATACGGATTAAGCCGGTGATTTTTATCATTTTCCGAAAGAGCAGCGATATTTTACTTCTTTATTTTGGTTTTTGATAAATTTATAATCAGAAAAGGGTTCGCGTTGCTCTCTGAAAATCTACAAGATCCTTTAGCTTCCTTCCGTCCTTTCTCCAATAGGTAAAGAGAAAGAGAGACAAAGATTTTCTAAAGCGAAGGAAGAGGACGCGCCTTTGCCGTCTTTTAATGGAAAGGTAAATAGCGTTCAGGAAATTTGCGCTTTCAAGGCGTCTCTCGCCACAAGATACAAAAACATGCAGGAAATTCTAAGCAAAATAGCCGGTGTAGGATCTGCTAATTCAATAGAAACTATTTGCAGTACCATTAGACGCGAACATCGTCTCAATGGCGATGCCATTGGCTCTATACACATCGAAATATATACGAGAAAGGCGTATTCTATCTTGGTTTGGTACTTAGGCATTGACTTATACAGTTGCGTCTGAGAAAAACTGCATGTTACTCTTACAACGAATATTTCTTAACGATTGTTAATAGTCAATAAACGAAAATAGAAGAATTTTTATCGGAGATTGAAACGTTTCTTCGATAGAAAAAGTTTTGGCATGTACAGGAAAATTTGTCAATTCATAAATATGTTTAGATATTTTACCGATCTTCTTCTTATATGTAAATATATTTACAAAAAGTATCAACAAAATTGTGCATTTATTACAATAATACAATTTTAAAGTAAATTATCAAATTGAAATAGATTCGCGAGTCGAATAATAGCACGAATTTTTTGTTCCCCAAACTGAAAGCAGTCGAAGGAGAAAATAATAATACAACAGCAAAATCACGGTCGTTTTAGAAGACTCGCCCGGAAGGCAACGTACTTATAAAGAGAAGAAAGGAAAAGACGAGCAAGCAATTCGTTCATACAAATATACACCAAGTAGTACCATGCAACGACGTATACATACCTACATACATACATATACATATACATATATATCCATATATACAGGACATACATACATCCGTCCAATTACTTAAAGCTTCGGCAAAATTCTTTCTCTGACTGTTTGCAGACAACTTTCTTGCCCCTTTCTCTTCTTCGGCTACGTCGCATCCTGCAACTTCTTCCCTTCGGATCCTCGACCTTAAGTTCTCTCTTTGACTGCATCTTCTTCTTCCATCTTAGTGAAAGGGCGGTACAGGAAGGAGAGCATTTAATTGCACGATATCGAATTCCTCGTAAGAATGGTGAACGTGAAGCGAAGGAATCTGCATCGAACTTATAATAGACGAACGAAGAGGACGAAAACGAGGAAGAAAGTATGCTTTCGAAAGAAGCGGAAATCAAGAACTTGCTCCCATCGACTAAGCGATACGTGCATACCGATCGGAGCACCTAATAAATGCTTCTTCGTTCCTCCTATCTCGCGCGGTAGGATAAATAAAATTTCCTCTAAAGTCATGAGAATTATATGGAACATAATATCCCAAGTAATCCTGTGATCCAAAGTCCGGTTACTAAGATACGAAAAAGGATAAATAAAATTCCATAAATCACCGAGGGAACATTTATTACATCCGCAGGAAGGTCTCAAGACGCTGGTCCATCCAATTTCCGTTTTCTTCCTTCAACGTGACGATTGGCACGTCTCGAAATTGCTGTCCCTATGAAGACAACCACGCGTTTGCGTCTACGCGCATATCATACTCCCGCTCTCCCCCAACCCCCTCTCTCTCTATCCCTTTCTCTCTTTCTCTATCTATCTCACTCACCCTATCCCTGCACATCATCCTCCCCTAGTCGCGCATCGAGAGGCACAATTTCCGTTACACTTCCGGCAATGCTTCCATTGTCCGATATAATCAGAAGACAATAATATCGTAGCCAAAACATATCTCTGGATGTGTTAGCAGAGTTCGCACGCTGCTCATTCTCTCGATGACCATAGAAAATGGCGTAGGTTTATACTAGGCTCGTAACGATGGGTCGCGACGCATGCACGAAGACGAGCTTCGTTCGTTCTACGATTCCAATCATCCAATCCGCACACGTATACGTATCCTACATAATACCTACACCATCGTGGAATAGTATGGGAGCATTCGCACGATGCTCTAGCGTAAATTCATGCAGGGCGGTTTGATGTACACGCGAGAGCGTATTCGTATCGTGCGTAAATTAGTACGGGAATTAGTGCGCTATAGGTATTTGTATGTATATATTATATACATATACGCATATACCACTACATATATATACCTTGACGTAATATATATGTATATGTATGTGTATATGTATATGTATATGCATATGTATCGTCTATAGACGTCTACCAGGTCGTTGCATAATATTGACCCCGCGTGTCGTGACTTGTAAATGCGGTGTAACGACTGACGCATATATACGCACTAATGGAGCCGTAGTGTCGGTCTAGTAGAGACGTAATAACGAATGAACGAGCGAGATAGAAAGGAAAAGAAAAAGAGAGAGAGAGAGAGAGAGAGAGAGAAAGTCGAGTGTAGATAGGTTAATGAATTAACAAAGATAAGACAGGTATATACGCGAGCCTTTACGCTTGTCAGATGTTATATACATATGCACGAATATTCTGTCATTCGTGTAAGTAACGCAGCACTACTCTCGAACATTCAACGATTCCCGATATTTACATGATTGCACATAATGCCTTGAATTTTAATCAGATCGATGCTGTACAAAGAGAAAACGCATGTGCATCAGAGAGGCTCTCGAAGTGCAGACGGTTCGGTACTCGCGATTACTCCTAACTCTGACGCGATCACGTACGACATGGGGATATGTACACATCAATATGTACTGCCTATGTATTCACTTGACTACATATGTGGATTTCCCGAAGGTGGGTTGTAATTTGACCAACCGTACCTAACCGTCTTCTCTATACATGATTCTAAGTCATACATAAACTATAATATTTCAACATATACATATGATACATAAACGTATAATAAGTTCTTATATGCAGCAAATTTGATCTAATCTTGGAAAAACATCAGTGGACTAGAAAGATCGATTGAAATAATGATATTTCTTGCAGCATCGGAGAAAAGGTCCAGCGGCATACTCGAATATATATGTATAGCTTTTGTTCATTATAGCGAAGAAGAAGATTAAGAAGAAGATGAAGAAAAAGATCATAAGCGAATACGAGGATTCGCGTGGTCGAGAACAATTCGACGGATATTAAAAATTTTACGAGCGTCCATCTCTCAAATCGAATTACGGATAAAAGATATTAGCGATGGCGAGTATCGGGCAAAAGCAAAAGTGCGCGTGCGCACACGCACAAGACTACATATATATCGCATGGTATACCCACAATCGCATATGCGGCCATACCTCTACGTGTCATGCATAAATGATATATGCATGCCATGAATAACTCTGTTCACCGCACAATGTCCGACCAAAGAAAGACGCGATCTCTCCATCCCTCTACTCTCCTCTTACCCCCCCTCACCTCTCACGCCCTCTCCTTCTCTCTCTCTCTCTCTCTCTCTCTCTCTCTCTCTCTCTCTCTCTCTCTCTCTCTCTATCGTTCTTTTACTTTCTCTTCTACTCTGGCACCGTAATTAATAATTTTTCTCACGGAACATTTTTCGGTCAGCGAAGAGACTCCACTATTCTTGCGCTAATTGCGAATAAGCGAGGCGCGGAAATCGTCGCTCGGAAACCATTCGTAAATCAAACAGAGAAAGACAGAGAGAGAAAGAGAAAAAGAGAAGTAAGGTAAATTCAGGTAAGTTTATCCTGCTATTGTTTCTCGCGATTCAATCTCCTGTAGCTATTATGAAATATATAAATGAAAATGAAATGAAAAGATAGAAAGAAAGAAATAGAAAAGAATAACAATGATCATAACGGGAATCGACGTTACGAAGTAATCGTAAAATACAAGATGTCTTTGCTGATATTACATTCAAAAAAAATTAGGATTTGCTTATATATGTAATAGTACGTCCAGCTTATAAGAATGCATTTGCACAGTATTATATGTATATATGTTACCGGAATAGTAGGAAATCTGGCAGTATTAGCAATACCACGGCATTGTCCTCAATGCAAAGCGTTTTTTTGACAAAGTCGGAAATGTATTCATATTTCTCACATTTCCTAGAAATTCTTGAGAATGACAAATGAGGAACCGGTAAAGAAAAAAAGCAGATAAAAAATATTTCGTTCTAAACCCACTTATTTTCCGATACGATGAGGAACAAAACATACAGATTTTTTATGGTAATCTCTATGAATTTCTGTCTAAGCATAATATAATCTTCTACTACGATAAGTAACAATAGACCCTACATAATAACACACTGGTATAAGGTAAGTTTCTATTCCTACGAGTGCGCATAATCTCATAAGCCCGCGCATAAAAACCCGCACACAAAAATTCGCGAAGCAGTCAAGGTGTTTAATTAGTTAAACAAAAATTTCTTTTTTACTATGCTCTTCGAAGGATTTTCAATAGAATGCAGGTATAAAACATTTTGTTCTAAGCCTGTTTTTCTTCCGATACGATAGGGAACAAAAGATACAGATTTTCCGCGGAAATCTCTA